GCACGGGAATAGCGGAGAGTCGCGCTCCTGTCCGGTGAGCCCGCCCTCCACACCGCCCCGGCAGGGAACGCGGCATCAAAACTGCCCCTACAACTTCCATTGCTACACGTTAAGTCACGGGGCTTTCCCAAGCTGAGGGAGGATGAGCTCCCGTCAGACACAGCCGCTGCACTGGGAGCAGAATTCAGCTCCGCTCCTTCCAGCGGCGCTGCTCCGGCCAGACGGTGCCGCCACCTGCCCTGACACACACGGCGGGTCCTGCACAGCTCAGACCACGGCTGATACAGTCCCCGTTGCCAGGCATGGCCGATCCAACAGCCTAAAGCGAAGGAATGAGATAATGCAACACACGGGCAGCTGAAGGAAGAAATAACAGCTTTGGAGAATCTCTCTCAAACAAGCTTTCTGCATTCCCAGAAATATGGGTCAGTTGGTATCAATTTGTTACTTATCTACTTGGCCCACTGCTGCTCAGCAGTGCATGGGAGCAGTTTTAACTGTTTAATGCTGATTCCTCACTGCAGTTAATGTGGCAACCAGAGCTTTGCCTCAGAGTGGGACTTGCACCAGCATTAAGGGACTATCTGGGACTCTGCACGCCCCAGATCCCTCCTGGATATTCAGATCTCTTCTAGAGCACATTCCTGGAAGCAGGGAATATTTGGTTAATTGTGCAGCACCTTGTGTGCTGGAGAGTCAGCCCATTGCCTGAGCTCTCAAGGGCACTGCATTGTGCACTGTGAGCTGCACCAGCCAGGCAGAGCACAGGGTGCCTGAAGCTCTCCCCAGAGCACTCACCTGCCTCCTGCTCATTCCTCATCTGCCTCCTGCTCACTTCACTTGATGACACCTGATTTTTGTGCTGAAAGAGCCCATGAACAGATATTCCTTACTCACCTCTTCTGTCCTCTCTCAGGGTTTCACAGGCTCACACCATTGCTCTTCCAGGCGGGCGAGTTCTCAACCATGAGATTACTCCTCCAGAAGGGTTTCCATAACTGTCATCATTCCTGTCATCCTTCCCTAGGCCTTTCCAGGTGCACACTCCCAGCCAGGTGGCAGACATCACCTGCAAAGATCCAGGAAGGACAGCTGGCAAAGGCAAACAAAACTACATCACACCTGTGCCCATGCCTTTCTGCAATTCTTCTTTTAAATCTTCAAGTCATTTTTCCTCCCCAATATGTCTCATTTGAGAAATAAAGCATGACTATTTATGCCAAACTTAATTTTATTTATTTTACAAACAAAAATATACATTTATTCTGTATTTTCTCTCTTTTCACCACCACCCCCCCCACATAACACATTTTGCTCAAGAACCAGTTTAAGATGGCCCAAAGATTTATATACATAAATACATAACAGGAGGAAGGTCAGTCCATGACCTAGTGCAGAAGCTCCTCAGCAGCAGAACATGGGACAGAAATACTGGAGTCCTGCCAGCAAAGGACAGGATGGATGTTGACAACCTGCACAGGTGATCCTTCAGCACTGAATTCAGATGGTAAAAAAGGCAAATTCATAATAGGCTCTTCACATCACCAAGGAGAGCAAGTAATTTGAAAATCAACAAATACTCCTTAGGATGGAAAAGCAGTTGCTCCTTTAGTTCTCAACTGCTTTGAAACCTTCATCTTGACTCTGTCCAAGGCCCAGGGAAGCTTTGGTGGCTCCCCCACCCTTTCTAACCAACAGCAGCTCAGATCAGAGTTGTAAGCAGCACCAGGAGCAGCAGCACAGCAATTCAGGCAGCTCATCATCCATCCCTTTTACAGCAAGCAGTCCAGCGTGGCTCAGGCTGACTGACAGCAGTGACACAGCAGCATGGAACACTTCTCTAACGTGACAAGGGCTGACTTGGCCAGCTCCTCATCCAGCCCTTGCAGTCATTGCATGAAATGGAAATGTGACAGGCTGTGACCTACAAGAAACTACTCACCTCTAGCACACAGACAGATAAAAGCCTTTTTTCCCCCAGAATAAAATAAAATAAAAATAAAAAAG